TTTATGTGTGTGTGTGTGTTTGTCTAAGAGAGAGAAACTTCAGCTGACCAGTGAGGCAGTGAGGACGGAAGTTTCTGGACATCAAAGCTGGCGGAGTCCCGGATGGAGGGTTGGAGGCAGACCGGGGTCCTGTTAGGCTAATTCCTCCCAAGGCTGGCAGAGGCAGTGGCGGGAACTTCTGAGAAGGTGGAGAACAGTCCTTTCATATGGCCTCCCTTTGAGCTGGCCTCAAGGTGGGACCCGGGTCGGGTGGGTGGAGGGCGGGGAGTGTGCGGAGAGGCGAGGCCGAAGTTGGGCTGGGCAAACAGATTGGGCAGCAACTGTGAGCACAGAGCATCCATTGTGTACCCCAAGCTCTGCTTTCAATAATCCACTCGGAAGAATGTTTCATTGAGCGCCAGAGAAAGGGGCCATTGAAATGCCCAGGGTTGGGGCCCTGTGAAGGGTTAAAGGCAAGGAGGCCATGGTGCCCAGCTCTTGCTGCTCCTCCCTCAGATGTCTGATATGGGAACTCTGGTCACTAAGACAGAGGACACTCAGTGAGACCACCAAGAGAGCCAGGAGCCAGAGTCAGGGCACATGTGTCTCCCCTAGAAATGTGAAAAGGCGGGGCCTCCCTGGTGGCGCAAGGGGTTAAGACTCAGCACTAAGAAGCTATCGCAACCACTGCAGCACGAGTTCAATCCCTGGCCAGGGAGCTGCCCACATGGCGCAGCAGACCTCTCCTGACTTGCCCACTGCTCCCCTCAGCAGTGCATTGTGGTACATCTGCCTGTTCTGTTCCCCACTCTGTCCCTGGTGAATCCTTTCACCCCCCGCATCTCTGGCCTGCACCCCAGCTCTTGTATGCATAAGTAAATAAATCTTAAAAAAAAAAGAAATGTGAAAAGGGGGCACCCCTGCATCAAGAAGGAAAATGCTTTTCCTCCCAGAACCATTTCACCCAAGTAATATCCAGCAAGAACTGGTCTCGGATCCCCTTCAGCCTGCCCACAGGAAGGGCAGTGCATGCAGGCAGGCACTTTTCTACCTGAATCGCTCACTTGGGCACTTACCCGGGCCCTTGCAATGCCTTCTTTACCATGGCTCTCTTAAACACCTCTGACCTTTCCATTAGTCATTAATTAATTATAATGAATGATGCACTAGTTGGGAGTATGTGGGTGAAAATGAGATCCAGTGAGAACCAGAGAACCAGAAAATGAGTATTACATTAGGTGACAGGGAGCCTGTGGAATTTTCTCTTGCAGAGGTCTTTGCAAATAGAGAAGCTATTCATTAGGAGGAAACAGCTTAACTGTTGGAAAGGGCACCAGAAGTGGCATTCTGTCTCCCACACCGTGTGCTTCTTTCCTGAGTGCCACTTGTCCTTTCAAGCTGCAGAGGCTTCTGGGGTTTGAGCTGGAGGGAACATATGCTGGCATCAGTGGGCCGCAAGAAGAGGAAGGAGGCAGGTGCAGGGACCTGCCGCTGGGGAGCATGCTCTTGAACCTGACCTCCAGCAACATGACTCCCTCCTCGATCCCCAGCCCTCCTCCCTTTTGCTTTCTCATCGTGGACCCCACCCCATACCTACCCACTCCTGAGCATGCATATTCAGGGAGGATGCTCTGCACGAAAGGCTGAGCTTATGCTATGAACTTGTTCTAGTATTTTGCATGGAAATCTCACAAATGCTAACTCAACATTCATAAAAAGGGAATCCTGAATAGGATTTAATGACAGTGACCCATAGTGGTGGGCTATGATGTGGCGATGCTCTTGGTCTGTTCAGGTGGATCACGCTTTCTGCTCCTATAGCAAATGACCCCCAAATCCCAGGCTTTTGATATTCATCAATCTGATTTTTATGTCTATTCTTTTGTTTCTCGCTAATGTTTTCACAGTGAAACCATAAAAGAGGTAATTGCATCATGTCACCTTCGTATATATCCCCTCTGAGCGGTTTTCAATATTCTTGGGTTAGAAAACTAACTCATTTGCTTGTTAAGAATTGTGTATAAAGGAAGAATTTAGAGAATTGTTTATAAAGTAGGTTTAGAGTAAGGAAGTCCTGTGGAGCTCTCCTCTGGGTTTAGGACTTGAACTCCGACAGTTTTGATGGCTCAGAGGACTTATATATTCTCTTTCAGGTCTTTGAGTTGGTCCAGGCTGTATAAGTCAAACTCCAGAAGGTGGACCACAGCCTACATAATCTATGCATTACATCTGTGCCAGGGTCAATGTAGTCAGAGGAAATAATATCTGCACTTTGAGAATTTTAGTTCTAAGATGGTTAAATACACACTCCACAGCCACCCCAAGCAATGAAAGACAAAGCCACAAAATATACTTATCCAGTTTTTTACCTTTAAATCTCTACATCCTAAAAGGTCATTGGAAGCAACATTTTTAAGGACTTTGAAAGTCCTTTAGTTTTGCTCCCCACTTTGGGTTAGGAATATCTCCTGTTATACTCTCTCTGCTTTTTGTTTAATGAGGAGCCCGGTGCTTCTCGGAGTCTGATTTCATCAATGGAAATCTACAGGAAGTAGCAAAACTACACCACTGCCACATCTGATCTGCATTTCATGTGCGGACAGGAGTGTTTTAATGAGGCTGTCATTTGGGGTTATGGAGTGAGCGTGGACCCATGTAGATGAGGGGACCCATCTTTCCAGCATAGGGGGATATTTCTGCTGTCAATTATTTTGGGAACAGGTAGGTTCTGAGATAGAAACTGCAAAGGCTATATTAGCTGGAGAGCCTGACTTGTGGAGTTTGAACTCGAGTGGTAGTGGCTGATGGCCTTGCAGCCCCACGGAGATCTGCAGCCCTGAATGTGCATCTTGGGAGTTGTTTTCATCCAGGTGGAGTCCCCATCCTGACAACTTGCCACTTCTCCCTGTGCTTGGAGCAGGCAGGAGGCAGGTCTGCCCAGTTCCTCTGACCAAGGTCTGGGACAATGCAAAGAATGCAAAACCCAAGTTCCTCTGACATCCAGTGACTTGTCCCTCTTTGACCCCAGCACAACCTCAGGCTGAAGCCTCCGGAAGCACCATTTTAGCAGCATTCGCCTCAGGAGGCTGTATTTTTCCTGTCTGTCCTCAACACTTCTGCCAAACAACAGGCTCAGTTTTCCCTTCTGATAAATCTGGTCACCCTAAATATGGGACACAAACAGGAGTGGCTGGCCCCACGCAGCCCTCATTTTGAAATGCAGATTCACTTGGGCTGCTATTTTGGAGGTCTCCTTTCTTTCTCCATACACAGTGGTTTTTAGGAAGATGGAAGAGACCCGGGCAGAATCCTGGCAGGGGAAAGATGCTAGGAGCCAACACACACCTGGGCCGTCTTGGTTTCCCAAATCTCTCCAAACACCCGCCCTTCCAGAAGTTCTGTGAAAAAGAGGGTCCTTGGGCCCATAAAATTGGGAATGCAGCTTCACCCTCCTTCCTCCTCGAGTGCCCCACATTAAACATTTGAAATCCTTTAGCAAAGAAGCCTTACTGGTTTTGTTTAACTCAGACCTCCCATTTGAAAGTGTAGCGGGGTGAAAATTTGGAAAACAATTATGCAGAGCCCAAGCCGGGAAGGGCACTACCTAAAATATTTCTCATTTACATCGGATTTGGCCTGCATGGTGCTAAATTTTGTTTTAAATTAGTTACTGGTACTTGACCCTTGAAACATTTCTCATAATGTGGATGGCAGATTGGAAACTCTTCTCTTCATTCTTGCACAATGGTCACTTGGGCAGTGTAGCTCCTGCTGCCCTACCTTCCTCAGCCCATCAGCCCAGTCCCCCAGCCTCCCTGTCCCAGGAGTCCCCCAAGCTTGCCTGTTCTGCTAGGATTTCCTTGTGTGGGGGTGGGCCTGGGGGACTCTGGGCTCATTCATCTGTTCATTCACGAAGCACGTTGGGTTTCTGTAGATACCAGGTGTACCACACAGGCCTGCCCTCTGGACTGCAGCCGTGGATGTCCTGTGATACTTAGCTGTGAATTGCAGAATGAGGAAGAAGAGGGGTGGAGAGGGAAAGAGGCGAGACCTCCACCTGGTTGCCTGGTCTCCAGTCCCTGGTACTAGCCAAAGCGTCCCCACTCTCCATTACTGTCTCTGCTGAATCTGCGACTCAAACCGCCCCTGTGAGGCCAGGAAAGAAGCCACTAACTTGCTCTATGACTGAGACGAGTTCCTGCCCATCTCATGGCCTCGGTTTCTCCAACTGTGGCGTGACCCGGTTGGAACCGAAAATTTTGCGCGTCCCTTCCAGGGCTGGCGCTCGGAGATGCTAAGACTCCAAGTTCCAGGAATGTCTGACCGGGCCGTTTCGGAGCTGTTCTGTCGAATTCCAAGCAACCTCCCTCCCTCCTTTCCAGGGCGGGGGCTGGAGCCGGAGGGCGAGAGGGTCTGGGCTGCCCGCCCCGGGGAGGAGCCGCCGCTGGGCGGCCCGCCCCTCCACCTGGGGCTCGGCTGCGGCAGATGTTACAACTTTCTCGCATTCTCTCCAGTGGGTCTCCGCGGACCCGCCCAACCCGCGCCTCCCGCCCCTTCCCCGCTGGGGTCCTGCCCGCCTCCCGGCCGGAGTCCGACAGTTCTCCGGACCGCGGGAGGGGCGAGAGGCCGGGCAGGGGGCTGGAGGGTCAGGGGAGGAGAAAGAGAAAGGAGAAGCGAGAGAAATTGGGAGGCGGGGGAAATCGAGGGCTGGAAGGAAGACGACAGTCAGAGGATGGTGCAGAGCACCTTTGGGGAGCCGCCGCGCCGCGTCTCAGGCTGGCCTGGCTGAGCTGCGGGAGCCGGAGCGAGGGCGGCGCAGGGCGGGCGCGCGGGCGGCGGGAAGCAGCTCCGCGCCGGCCCGACCTCTCCAGAGCGCCCCGCTGCGGCCGCACGCGACCGGCCTCGCCGTCCGGTCGTCGGTCTGGGACTGGCCGCTGGGTCACCCCCTGGGGCGCTCAGCACCCTCACAGCGTCCTGATCGGCCGGCCGGCTTGCGGCCGGTGCGCCCTGGGCGCGCGGGGCCGTGAGACCCGGGAACCCTGCGCGGCAGGACGCGCGGGCCGGTATGGCGATGCATGCCCTCACTGGCTTCTCGCTGGTCAGCCTGCTCAGCTTCGGCTACCTGTCCTGGGACTGGGCCAAGCCTAGCCTGGTAGCCGATGGGCCTGGAGAGGCTGGTGAGCAGCCCTCTGCCGCAACGCCCCAGCCGCCCCACATCATCTTCATCCTCACAGACGACCAGGGCTACCACGATGTGGGCTACCATGGCTCCGACATCGAGACCCCTACGCTGGACCGACTGGCGGCGGAGGGTGTCAAGTTGGAGAATTATTATATCCAACCCATCTGCACCCCTTCAAGGAGCCAACTTCTCACTGGCAGGTAGGCATGGCCCAGGCTGCCCTAGAAGCCCCTAAGTAAACCCAGTCAGTAGATTTCCCCTACACTTACAAACTAGGTTTTAGGGCAATTTTGGTTTTGGTGGCCTGGGTGATGGTAAGTCCTTTGCTCTCTCTGGGTCTCAGTTTCCCTACTTGCACATTGAATGGGTTGGATCATCTTTGAGGTTTTCTCCCTCAGATGTTTTAGGACACTCACACTTCACACCATGTGAAGGAGACATCTGGTCATCCCTTTGTTAGAGGAACGTGGCAGCCTCTGACACTCAGGTTTGCACGCTGCTTCTATTTACAGACCTGGAGGCCCTGAGCAAGTCACTTTCAAAGGCTCAGTTTGTTTGTTCTTAACATGGGGAGAAGAACAGTTTTGATCTTGCAAAGAAGCAGTGAGGAAGGCGTGTGTTGCACTTAACCTGTGGGGCTCTCAATAAATAGTAGTTTCTAAGTCACTGGAGGAATTAAGGCCCCCAAACTGTTAAATGACTATATTGGAAGGAAAGCAAGGATTGCTAGGTGAGGAGAAAGACACAGAATGCATACCCTACACGAAGTAGCCGCATCAGGCTAGTTACTTCATTTCTCTAAGCATCTGATTTCTTATCTGTGACTCCTGGGGAGGGGGCCCTTTGTTCGTAGGGAGCAGTGGCAGATGCTCATTCCCCTCCTCCTAGCCAGGAGCAGTGCTGGTTTCTCCCATCAAGAGTTGTCCACAGGCAAGGAGGTAGGATTACAGGATTAGAAGAGCAGAGAAACAGGAGGTGGGGTGTGGTAGGCAAACTCCGGCCACTTAAAAGAAAATCCTTTGGCAAGGCTGAAGCTAATCCTCCTTGGACAGGGTCCAAGGCAGGCTTTCTCCCAAGTTCCACCCAAAAGTCTTAGTCTCCCTGTTTCCTGGACTGGAGAAACTGAGGTGTGCAGGTGGGGAGGGTCCAACTTAGCGACTGTGCCCACCTTCGGGGTCTGCAGGAGAGGGGCTGAGAGGCCCCTGGCTTGGGTTTGGGGGTTCCTGGAGGTCACAGTCAACAGTCACCTCTTCTTCCTTCTTCAAGTCAGCACTTAGTGCCTGGACCCAGGAACAGGGAGAGAGGGAGAAAGAGGAAGAGAGGCTGGTGGGAGCAGCAGTGATGGAGGTGAAGACCATGTAACCAGTAGCCTCCAGGAGAGAAGGAATCTGCGTTCCCGGGAGTGATATGCAAGTGGACATTTCTCTCCCAAGAGGTGACTTTTGGTTTAAGCAGGGGAATGAGCAGTCTGCAGGGAGGTGTTCCAGCTCCTAATCTGCGAAAGCAGCTGAGCATGGCTGGGCAACGCCTGTCCTCCGCCCCCTGTAGTGGCTCCCTCCGCTGATGTGCTGATGCGGCTACTCTCACTAGTGTTTGTTAATGCATCCAGTCGTGTTTGGTGAGCCTGGAGAGTGCCAAAGTTTTTCATGTCACTCACTTGCAGAGGGGCCTCTGTGATTCCTAGGGGGCTCACCCACTTTGCCAACCAGTGCCCATGGCCCCAGTCCCTGCTGAGGGTGCTTTTTGTATCAAGTCCAGTGGTTCATTAGTTGACTGAATTCAACTAAGGGCCAAAGCTCAGCTCCACTGCTTGTCTGCTGTCTGAACTCAGGCCAGTTGTTGCACTTTGGGGGGGCCTCAATTTCGTCATCTGTAACTTGGGCTGAAGTTGGCTGAGGATCACTGAGACTACAGAAAGGGAAACTGTGGAGAAGCAGGGCTAATGTGGTAAAAACATTAGCAGTTTTAAGATGAGGAAATCAAAAAGAAAACCTGACCTGGTGCCCATTTAAAGGTGTTAGGGATTTAGGTCTTGGCTTACCTTGGTTGGGAGATGAGAAAAATTGTGGGATTCTAATATACTCCAGGTGTCTCATTTACTCTAAGACTTTTAAGACTTGAGTCAAGACAAGAAAACACAGCAGACCATGTGGGGCCTTGGATGCTGAAGGGGGAGTGGGATACAAATGAATAAATGAGGAAGACAGGATTTTGCTAATCATGTGCTCCTGCCTCAGGCATTAGCCTGTGTAAGTGACCCAAATCCAGAGGCCACATGAACTTGCAGTCAGGCACCGGAGAACTTGCCCCATAATATTTGGAAACAGGGAGATTTTTAGAGTACTCCCATCTAATCAACTCGTTCCTACAACTGAGGCCTCCAGAGGTGAGAGAAGTGGCAGCCCCCTTTGCAGAAAAAGGTCTGGGCATCGACTCTGCTTGAATTTGTGTTCAAATTCCTGGCTTTGCCTCTGATCTTGGGTGACCTTGGGCAAGGTGCTTCCCCTCTTCTTAGTTTCTTTTTAAGATGAAGTAAATAAACTAGAAAATGACTTGGGTCCCTCTGCCTCTAAAATCCTGAGTGTCATTCATTCATTCATTTGTCACATAAGTAATTGTCTTTTAAACATCACTTGAGTAGTATCAAAAAGAATACTTAGGAATAAATTTAACAAAAGAGATGAAGACATGTTGAACATTACAAAACATTGAGTAAGTGGTTGAGTGAGAGTCTTGTTATGTATCATTGGGCCCAGGAACATGTATAACTGAGTATAATCCCATGACCAAACAGGACAATGATGTGTGTTCTCAATGCTAGGGGAACTCCAGCTCTTCTCTCATTCTTTTCTTTTTTTAATTAATAAATTTATTTATACAAGCACTGGGTATAGTCAGAATCGCGGGAGGGCGAGAGCATTCACCAGAGCCAGAGTGGGGAGCAGAGCAGGCAGACTGACGAAGTACACTGCTGAGGGGAGCAGCAGGCGGCAGGAGTCTTCTCTCATTCTTTGATGGAGTTGTGAGAAACTTTACAGTGGAGGTAACTTTTAGGCTAGGCTTCGAAGATTGAATAGAAGTTTGCCTGGGAGAGCAGAACTTGCTCAGTACTCCCTGACCAGATAGTGGCTGAAGGCTCAGGGACTCTGAATTCTGGAACCAGACCCAGACTGCCAGGGACACAGATCCCACCTGCAATTATTGTATGCATAATGGGGCAAATTATTTAATTTATTGAGTTTCTGTTTCCTTATTTGGGAAATGGGATGATATGCAACCCGTAGCTTGTGGTGAGAATGTAGTGAGCTGATTTATATAAGGAGCTTAGCACAATGCTGAGCACACAGTGAGTGCTTGGTGTTAGCTATTGTTATAGTTGTTATGGGTTATGTATGGAGTTCAATTCTTAATTCCCCAACTTCTGAGCTGTGTGAGCCTCAGTGAGTGGCTCAGCCATTCTGAGTATCAATCTCCTCATCTGTAAAATGGCAATAACATCTCCTTCATTTGATTTTGAGGATTCAGTGAGACAGTACATTTGAAGTGTTTGGCCCATTAGGTAATAATACCCTGGTCACTTATCACATGAGCTGGGAGGGCCGAGTCCAGAGTCCACCTCAGGGTGAGTTTTGGGGTTTGGGTGGTTAGAGGTCTGGTATCTAGCTCAGCTGTGCCTTCTGTGACCCCCTCTTCCTGCCAGGTACCAGATCCACACAGGACTGCAACACTCCATCATCCGTCCTCGGCAGCCCAACTGCCTGCCCCTGGACCAGGTGACACTGCCTCAGAAATTGCAGGAGGCAGGTTATTCTACACACATGGTGGGCAAGTGGCACCTGGGCTTCTACCGGAAGGAGTGTCTGCCCACCCGCCGGGGCTTCGACACCTTCCTGGGCTCGCTCACGGGCAACGTGGACTACTATACCTACGACAACTGTGATGGGCCTGGGGTGTGTGGCTTCGACCTACACGAGGGTGAGAGTGTGGCCTGGGGGCTCAGCGGCCAGTACTCCACTATGCTCTATGCCCAGCGTGTCAGCCATATCCTGGCCAGCCACAGCCCCCGGCGGCCCCTCTTCCTCTACGTGGCCTTCCAGGCGGTGCACACACCGCTGCAGTCCCCTCGCGAGTACCTGTACCGCTATCGCACCATGGGCAATGTGGCCCGGCGCAAGTATGCGGCCATGGTGACCTGCATGGACGAGGCTGTGCGCAACATCACCTGGGCCCTCAAGCGCTATGGCTTCTACAATAACAGCGTCATCATCTTCTCCAGTGACAATGGTGGCCAGACCTTCTCAGGGGGCAGCAACTGGCCCCTGCGAGGACGCAAAGGCACCTACTGGGAAGGTGGTGTGCGTGGCCTGGGCTTCGTTCACAGCCCCCTGCTCAAGAGGAAGCGGCGGACAAGCCGGGCGCTGGTGCACATCACTGACTGGTATCCCACCCTGGTGGGACTGGCAGGTGGCAGTGCCTCGGTGGCTGAAGGGCTGGACGGCTATGATGTGTGGCCGGCCATCAGCGAGGGCCGGGCATCACCGCGCACAGAGATCCTGCACAACATTGACCCGCTCTACAACCACGCGCGGCACGGCTCACTGGAGGGCGGCTTTGGTATTTGGAACACGGCCGTGCAGGCGGCCATCCGGGTGGGTGAGTGGAAGCTGCTGACGGGAGACCCCGGCTATGGAGACTGGATCCCGCCGCAGACACTGGCTGCCTTCCCAGGCAGCTGGTGGAACCTGGAGCGGATGGCCAGCGCCCGCCAGGCCGTGTGGCTCTTCAACATCAGTGCTGACCCCTATGAGCGGGAGGACCTGGCTGACCAGAGGCCCGACGTGGTCCGAGCGCTGCTGGCCCGCCTGGTGGACTATAACCGCACGGCCATCCCCGTGCGATACCCAGCCGAGAATCCCCGGGCCCATCCTGACTTTAATGGGGGTGCTTGGGGGCCCTGGGCCAGTGATGAGGAGGAAGAGGAAGAGGAGGAGGAGGAAGGCAGGTCTCGAAGTTTCTCCCGGGGGCGTCGCAAGAAAAAATGCAAGATTTGCAAGCTGCGATCCTTCTTCCGTAAACTCAATACAAGGCTGATGTCCCACCGTATCTGATTGGGCTGTGGGGGAAGGGGAAGTGAAACTCTGTCCTCCTAGAGGGCTTCCCAACTCAAGCCTGGCCTGCTCCTATGCAGGCAGGAACCTAGCTCCTGCAGGGGAATGGAGGGCAGAGAGCACCTCAATTAAATGGTGGGGAACTTGGCTTGGGGGTTGGGAGAGAACAAACTGGAATGGGATGCCTGAATCCCAATCCTGTCTCATCATGTTCTTGTTCTGCGAACTTGGTGACCTACACAAACTCTCTGAGCCTCAGTTTCCTCACCTGCAAAATGAACTCTAGTGACTTTGTGACTGTGTTTTGGGCCTGGGGCCTGGGTCTTTGTGGAGATCCAGTTGACCTCACCACCCCACAGCTTCTCCAAGGCCTCACCCTTGAACCCTGGACCTCTGTGGTACTACTTAGGTGAGGGCCCACATGGAGGCATCTCCAGGCCTGGATCCCAGCCCAGGCAAGGCCTTCTTGCTCTCTGAAAGGATCCCTTGAGTGCTGAGAGTGGCGGTGAAGGCATGGGAAGGAGACCTTCCCAGGATCTCATGTGGACCAGGCCTGGGCACCGGTGGTTGCTGTTGTTGGTGGGGCTTTCCTTCCTGGCCCCAGTAGCTGAAGAACCTGGCCCACTGGTTAGCTGCTGCAGGACTAAAAAATGGGGGAGATAGTTGTGTTAAAGGATCCTTAAACCAACAATCAGGACCCTAAGTTCTCTTTTGACCTTGGGCTTTGTCCTTCCCCTCTGGGCCTCGATTTCCCCACTTGCCAATGGAGGTGCTATCCCTGGTTCTGCCAATGATACCCGAACTGTCCCCGATCTGGGGCTCCCAGGACTGTGGGAGACTGGCCAGAGTAATGGTTGTGGAGGAGTCATGAACTTGATTAAAATGCAGTAGCACAGAAGCCAGGGCTGCAGCGCTGTCTGTGAGCACGTTTGGACATGTGCATGTTGGTCCTGGGGCAGGTGTGCACTCACCATTGGCTGAATGGATGGGAGGGGAGTTGGGCAGCCTGACCTGGTGGCCCAATGTACAGGTTTTGGTCCAGTCCTGCCACAGATCTGCTGTGTGACCTCTGGCAAACCCCAGACCCTCTCTGGGTCTCAGCCTCGCCCTATGTGCAATGGATGATCTAAGAGCCCCTTCTCCTTGGCCATTCTGGGTATCCCTGGGTGTGTGAAGGCAGGGAGGAGAGCTGTGGGGATTTCAGAGCCTGCTTTCTGCATAGCGTGCCTCCATCCGCACACTGCGTTCTGCATGTCTCCCTTCAGGTTCCAGTCGGCGCAGCGTGTGTAGGCGAAAGCCCTGCTGTGAATTTTGAAAATAGTTATTTTTGTCGCTGGCAAAGGAGGCCTGTTAGGACTCATCAGCTTGTGGATGAGCGGGACGGGTTGGGTGGGGTGGGTGCATTTCAGTGTGTGTGGGGTTCGGGTATCAGGGACAGAGCTGCATGCCCGCTGCAGAGGCTGAGCCCGGGAGCAGGGATGTGGCCGGGATCTGCAGGGTGTAGGTAACCGTCTGTGTCCTGGGTGCCTCTCTCCGGGCTATCTTTATCATTTCTCACTGCCGTAGTTGGACCTTTTCTTTGTCCCGAGGCTGTTGATACCAGGCTGTTGTGGGGCTCCCAGCATTTCTGCCAGCTCAGAAGGGACTCTGAAGAAGTTGCCCGTTGGTATGGTGTCCTAGGCTCAGCAGACCCGAGCCGTGGGTTGTCTATAGTTTGCCTGCTACCCAGGGTTTCCAGCTCTGCTAGTTCTTAACCCAACTGTGTGGGCTGGGCCCTTCCAGCATGGCTGGAGACAAACTCCCCTGCGATTCTAGATGTGCCCCAGTCGAATAGAGGCCTCTTCCTGCCTGTTCAGTGAGCCCTGCCCCAGGTGGCCAGCCTGGGCAGCTTGGTTACTATTCCTGGGCCCCTGCCTTCTGGAGCCACAAGTGCAGAACTGTGAAGTACCCTTTCTGTTTCCCCTGGTCACCAAGGCTCACCTCTTGTGGCCAACCTGACACCAAATTTGGTGGTCCAGCCACGGCTGTTCTGGTGTTTGAGAAGGCACGATCTCCTCCCAAGCCTAAACTAGAGCTCACCTAGCTCAGTCTTGGCTAACCCAGAACCCAGCGAACAGCCCTGGCCATTCCCCCAGGCTGCCTGACCTGGGTGCCGGCAGCTGGCTCGGGCCTACCCTTGGTGAAGAGTCTCAAGAAGAGGAGAGGCCAGGACTCCAGGCACTGCAGTGAGAGGCTCAGCCCACTGTGGTTTCTGTTCTGCCCGGCCATCAGTGTGCCTCCCACCCAGACCCTCTGCCCTCCCATGGTCTGTGACCCCCGCCCCCACCCCCAGCAGGGCACTCTGCCATTGGCCCTGCTAGACTGGAGATTGTGCCAGTGGGGTGGGAGGTGGTAGGAGGGAAAGCAGGCCAGATCTGGCATGGGTGGTGCCCAGAGATGCCTGGTAAGGCCTGGCATCCCCCTTGGCTGGACCAGAGAACAGCAGATCTGCCAGCCAGGTAGGTTGGAGCTGGGACAGTCCTGAGTAAGCTGGGCCCTTCCATGGCACCCTGGGCTCTGATAGCCAGTCCACCAGGAGAGAGCCAAACCTGGCTGGAGGGCAGGCTCTGAGCCCCACCCTGAGCCTGGACTCTGTTTCCTCCTCTCACTTGGTGCCTATGGGTCACCTTGGGACTCGGACAAAGAGCCCTACAATGCCAGAAAGAGGGAAAACAGAGCAGTTTAAGAGAAGGAACTCTGTTCTGGGAATCAAGGACTCCAGATGGTGACCCAGACTTGGCCTTGACTTATCACTGCAGGAGGATAGCTCAGGCTCTTGGCCTCTGTCCCCCATCTGTAAAGCGCATGGGCCCCCTCAGGGCCCTTCTGGCCCTAGTGGAGGCCAATGAATATGGGGCAGCGGTGCTGAAGTCACCCAGAGCTGCATGGGAGGCCTGGCTGCACACCCCGGCTTGGGGCTTGGGTAAGCCATGTCACATCTGCACAGTTGGCAGTGAAGAAACCTACCTCATGGACATTTGTAGGAGCAGTACAAATAGTGTAATGTGTCAAGTCCTTAGCACAAGGCCTGGCTCTAAATTGGAAATAACTGTTTTTCATGTCTTGGAGTCACGAAAGGAACACTTGCTCCCATCTCCCCAGGAGGAAGTGGAGGCCCCAGTGGGAGAAAGCTTTGCCATAATAAGGATTCCCAGACAACAGTAGGACTTGAACTTGGCTCTTCCAACTGCAGGACATGTACAATCATCTGTCCCCTGAGTCCCTCCTTCCCTGTCCCCTGCAAGGAGTGTTTCCTGCGTGGGATACCTCTGAAGACAGCCCGGTCCCCGACCCTGCTGCCTTCCTTTCTGAGCACAGGTCTGTTGTTGCTTGCTGCATGAACTAACCAATCACTCGCCACCTAGACCCCTGGCTGGGTCATTTCTCTTAGCCCACTTTCTACCACTTCTGCCCCCCACACTCTGACCATAGGGGACAGGCCTCGTGGGGACCCCTCCGATGGCATGTTTTCTGTGGTGCCTGCCCACGCCCTGTGGGATGTGAGACACTGAGGCCTATGAGCGTGAGCATGTGTGTGAGCTTATATTTGGGCTGTGGAAGGTGGGATTTGAGTCAGTTGTCACAAGGCCATTGGGGGTCCGATCCCCTGTGGTGGCCAAGGAACTTGACCCTGGTCCCTGTTTGTCCCTCCCCACACACAGTGGGTACAGCTTGTGTTCATGTTCAGGCCCCTAGCCTGGCCTGTCTGAGGCGGACTCAGTGACCTCCAGGATTCAAACTCCTGGTCGCCAGCCCATGGTGGCACATCAGTCTGCTCTTGAACCACACGTGTGTTGGAGATGGGGGCACACGTGCCAGCTCGCATGCCTGCCATGGCCCTGGGGAGTGGAGAGTCTGGCAGGAACAGTCCCCTGATGCAATCATCGGCTATTCTCTCAGCGCCACAGAGGCAGGGCTGGCTCCTCACAGCCTGCCACCACCAGGCACAGCTGCCAGCCTGGAGGGGACAGGAGAGGCAGCGCATTAGAGGTTGTGCTTCCTCAACAGCGGTCAGTCATGCTCTAGAGGGGGGTGCCCATTCCCTGCACTTGGGTCTGGAAGGTTTGGAGAAGTGTGTGTGTGTGTGTGTGTGTCTGTGTGTGTGTGTGTGAGAGAGAGAGAGAGAGAGAGAGAGTTGCCAAGGAGACTTCCTCTACCCCCGCCCTCTTCCTCTCCTCTCCAGCCATTGCTCCATCAGTACTCTGCAGCTTGGGTCCTGCCCAGCTCCCAGTATCATGTGTACAAAGTCTCAGAGGGAGAAGAGTGATGGAGAATGAGAAGCAGAAAGGAAGGAAGATAGAGACAAAAAAGGAGGTGAAAAGGAATAGGAAAGAGAGGAGGGATGGAAAAGGAAGGGTACAAGCAGGGAAGGCAGAGAACAAGGAAAGGAGAAAGAAAGGAGAACTGGAAAGAGTTGGAAGAGAGAACAATGGGCAGATGGGAGAGGAATGTAGCTGGGTTGGTCCTGCCCCCCTGAAGCCACATAGGCAACCTCCAGAGTCCCCCTCAGAGGCAGGGAGAGAGCTGGCTTTCTACGCTGCCTCTATTCTTTATGTCCTTCTCTGAGTAATCCTGGCTCTTTCAGTGACATGTTACCAAGTCGCTTCCTCATGTGCTCTGCTCTCTTTTGAATCTACTCCATTTCATCAGAGGGAGAAGGAGAGAAACAGGGACGTCAGGTCAGCTTCAAGCCAAATAGGCTTTATCACCTCCTTTCTTCAGAACATCAGACTTCCATTAATATGTCCTCAGGACACATTTACTTTTTCTTTGTTGTTAATTTTTAAAATTGCATCATGTTGGCAGTGGATGAGTTGGAGACTTTGTGCCCTGCTGTCTCTTGAGCCCCAGTTCTTTGTTCTAAAGGAATTGCCACAAACCAGCAATTGCCCTGAGCAGGGTGATGTTCAAACCAGGAGCTCAACTCTAGTGGGGACTAAGAGAATGGCACCCCAAAGATGATAGTGTGTGCTTCCCTGATTCAGAGAACCCTGCAAAGGGGGAGAGACTTCTGAGTCACTCAATAATAATAATTAACACTATTCCCATCTATTCAGCAGTTACAATGTGTTAGCCACTGTGCCCATCTCATTTAATCCACAGACTAGCCCTGTAAGTAGGGAACGTTGTTAACTATTTTACAGATAAAGAGACCGAGGTACAGAGAAATGAAGCTGCTCATTCCAAATCACACAGTCTGTAAGTCACGGTGTTGCTCTCAGCTCGGAAAGCAGTTGCCCGTCTTCTCCCTGGGCAATGACTGGGAGGCCTCAGTGGTCACCAAGAACTAGTTCTTATGTGGGAACCACCCCTCCTGAGTGTGGGCAGGGGACCTGGCAGGAAGGTGGCAGTATGGCCCTGCCCCCGCATGTCCACATCTCTGGCTGCCTCTCCTCCAGTGGTGCCCCTGCCCTGCCTGCTACCCACCGGCTGTGCAGCCCCCCAGCGAGGGCCTCTCTTCTCTGCCTCTGAATTGCAACGTTGGCGGCACAAGCGGGAAGCATATTGTGCGCAGAAACAAAACTGAGTGGTTTTTCCTTTTTCTGAAGGTGGTAATGGTGCAATTAGTGGCTAAGCCATTACCCCCTCCTCCCTGCTCGCCTCCCCGCCTTCCCCTCTGCCTCCCTCCTGCTTCTCTCCTGGGAAGAAGTGGCTGCATCAGAGAGCCAACCCATCATTCTCTCCCACCCTGACTCCCGGGAAGGGGAAAGAATTGGGGGACACTCAGTGGACAGTGAGTCCGGATCCCAGCAGGTTTGGGGATTACCCACAAGCAGACAACATGTCCCACTAGTGAGGTGATCAACAAGGAAGGGGTGGGCTTAGAAATGCAGAGGGTTTGGATCCAGATCTTTTATCCATCAAGTGCTTGTTTTGGGCAAATGCCTGTGGGCACCTCAGACTAGTGGGCTGTGAAATGAGCTCGAGCGGAGGGGTGGTGTGAAGGGTCAGAGGGTCTATGTTTATATGGAGTGATGGGAATGGGTCCATGTGCTGCCTTGCATCCTCCTTTTTCTCTTCCAGACACTCTCACGCTTCGGTGTCCCCCAGACCTTCACAGCCCTTCACCTGCTTCATCTTCAGGCACCTCTGCAGTGGCAGTTTTGTCCTTTGTGTGGTAGAAAAGGAGTTGGAGGCTCAAAGAGGGCAGTGACTTTCCCAGGTTCACCCAGTGAACACACGTCAGAGCTCTAATTCAATGCAGATCCTTAAACTCTAGTCCTTTCCTCCTTAACCTCACTGGCTTGGAGGTGGGGTACCTTGGGGTTAGAGATGTGGCTTTGGCCCAGAAGAAGTGAAGTTGCTGGGGGAGTGCCCAGAATTTGGGAGAGGGGTTCAGAGCCATCCATGACCATCCCCCATAGGCCAGGAGGTGCCCCCTCCCCACTGCCACCTCCTCCTTTTTCACCTTGACTTGAAGCATAAACAGAAACTAGGACATGAGCCTCAGGGGACCAGACTTCCTGGTCCCTCCTGGACGCAGGTTGCGGGAGAGGTTATAGAAGAAGCCTCCGGAGGAACAGCTGTCAGAGCTGTGAGGGGTGCAGGCGAGCAGGCAGCCGGGGCTGCCCTCAGCATCCTGGTGTCTCCCCGCTACTTCTCTCCCAAGCTGAGTGGTCGCGATAGGGTGGCAAAGAGCAGAGAGTAAGAGGAAAGGAGGAAGAGGTGCGCGCGCGTGCACACACACACACACACACACACACAATGCAGAGGGAACCGACACAGAGACTACAGTGTTTCCCCCAAAGAGATCCCAATGAATTAGCCATGGCTTCCCAGTAAACCTTAGAACCGGCTGTTTCCAGGACAACGGGGCAATACCTGTCTCTCTAGAGGAGATGAAGTTGCCAGGGTAACTGCATCCTGTCTTTCCTGGGGACCATCTCGGAATGTGGCGCTCACTGGCCGTTGCCATAGCAACTGCCTTTTTGCCCCACTTAATCCCATCCTGTAGACTTCAAGGGCCCCACATTTGGAGGTGGGGGAGGTGGGAAGAGAGATCACTTGTAGACTAAGTTTTGTTCTCTTCCCCCTCTCCAAGCCTCATTCTCGATCCCTCACCTTGGGGGTGCTGGGTGTCCGCCTGCCCCCGGCCCACACAGGCCTGCAGTGCTGTGTGTGGTAGGACCACGGCGTCCGGGAGCAGGTTTTGCAGTGGAAGGCAGGCAGGTGTTGGGGAGGCAGTTACCGGGGCAACGGGAACAGGGCGTTTCGGAGGTGGTTGCCATGGGGACCTGGATGCTGACGAAGGCTCGCGAGGCTGTGAGCAGCCACAGTGCCCCTGCTCAGAAGCCCGGGGCTCGTCAGTCAAGCCGGTTCTCGGTTTGCACTCGGCAGCTCGGGCAGGCGAGTGGCCCCTAATTCTGGGAGCAGAGCAGCAACACCCCAGTCCTGGTCCTCCAACCCCGAGCCTCGTCTGCCCGCCCAGTGCCAGGATGGCTACCATCACCTGCACCCGCTTCACAGAAGAGTATCAGCTCTTCGAGGAACTGGGAAAGTGAGTTGCACCTCAGAGTCCTGGAGGGTGCAGGGATGTGCATCACGGGCGTGTGTTTCTGCGGTGCTCTGTGCACACCCAGGGAGGAAGGCTGCATGTGTTTGGGGGCACTTGCGTTGCAGAGTGCCCGGACGGAGCACAGGCGTGTATGCAGTGCGCAGATGTGCCAGGGCCAGCAGGGCGAGTGTGTGTGTAGGGGTGAAGGGTTGACAGTGGGTGCATGCATGCAAGCACACACACACACGCACACACGCACACACACGACACCGGCGCACAGATTCTTAGAAACTCAGGCTTGAAATGGGATCTTCCCAGGCAGTTGAGTCCAAAGCTAGTCTCCCCTGTGGAGTTTCTTGAGGTGGCCATCTGCTCTCAACTTGTATACCTCTGGGAACGGAGAGTTCATCACCTTCTAGATAGTCTTTTCTGACTTTAGATACCTGCAGCAGCTGTGCAGAGCAGCCAGCTTCTCCCTGTGAGTGCATCCCCGCTCTACCACCCCCTCCTAACTCCTCCAGGAGTGAGGACATTGGTATAGCAGGGGTTAATAACCGAGTGGCTGGAGGCTTCCTGAATGTTGGGAGGAGGGGAGGGCCAATCAGGCTGTTAAAGGGGCTGATGAGGGCAACAGCACACCAGGTCTGCTCCCTATCAAACTTGTCCAGCCCCAGATCTCATTTTCTGCCCCTGACCCCTGGTGTGTTGAAGGAAGGGTGGGTGGGGGTGCTGGGAGAGAGGAGAAGACCTTGGGATAGTCCAGTGGCTGTGGAGTGTCAGGGACACATCCCCATATGCCCCCAGCCAGCTTTGTAGAGAATCCATGGATCAGCCCAGGGTAGGAGTACAGGCCTCTTGTCCCATGGGTAAAGCAGCTCAGTGCCCTTGGGGCTTCTTGCTATGGCAGCAGGGGCACAGGGGTACAGGGGAGGGGACTCTGGAAGCAGGAAGGTGTTGCTGTGAGATCTGGATCCATGCACACAGGCATGTGCATTTCAAGCATGTTGTATAAGGACCAACTCTGGAGTACACTGTGCACTGAAAGGGTGTGCAAATGTTTGTGCATGTGCACCAGGAGGAGATGGTGTGGTGTGCTTCATGGGTAAGATCCAAAAAGGCAAATGTGTCCTGCAAGGGTGGATATATGCGGTGGCACAGGGGTGCTGTTGGCTGGTTGGCAAGGGACTAAAGGTGTGAACATGCGTCACCACGCACACGAATGGCTGGTCAGGCAAAGGCCTGGTGTGTGCAAATATGTCTGTGTAAGATGCACATATGAGGTCGGGCACAGTGAGGTCTGGACAAGTACATCTAGGGAAAGCCCGGGGGCATGCACATGAGTGGGTTTCTGTGTGTGCATGGTGAGCTCAAGCTGGTGTCTGCATGTGTGTGGGAGGTAGGTCTGCGACTGTGTACAAGCAGGTTGGCTGTGCATGCACACACACTCACACTTACACTCACTCAGCGGGGTAGCCTGATACCTACAGGCACACGCAGCTCCCTTGAACACACATTCGCCCATGTGCAGACGTGTGCTCATTCTCCTCTGCAGACTTCCTGCCTTTCTATGTTTTTGTACTGGGGAGCAGGGAGGGTGGCTGCAATCAAATGTTTAGGACTTCTCTGGAGGACCAAGGCTGTCTGCTAGACTTGTGCAAGGCTTTCTTCTCCAGATGGTTCCTGTGCCTGCTGAAACCCCAAGATTCACTGATTAGCTAGAGCTGCCTTCCAGGGTCTGACCAAGGCTCGGTCTGGGGACTGCGTCACAGAGTGCAGTGAAATGGTGTTGGGATGTGACTCAGGCACTCAAAGTGAAAATAAAAGTGATGTTTTGCCCCAAGAGGAGATGGATATCAGGAAGATTGGGTGCTATGGGGGCGACTTGGCAGAGCATGTCTTCATGTGCGTTCTCAACTCCCCTCCTTGCCTGCCGCAGGGTGCTTGCAGGGAAGGGGCAGGGGTAGAATTTCGGGGGACAGGGAGACCTGGTGTGGCCACAGCAGGAAAAATCAGGGTGGCAGGTGTGGTGAGGCCTGGTGTAATCAATTTCAGACCTCTCCCTTCCAGAACCATCAGTGCTTTTAACCTTTTTTAGGTCACATATTCCTCCAGGAATCTGAGGAAAGTCTAAGTCTACAATTCCCCAGAAAAAAAATGCACAAAGCTGTGTGATGTGGGTGAGATGTCAGGAGCTTGCAGGACATCAGGAAGGCTGGGGGTGGGCCTGCAGCTAAGGACTCCTGCACTGAGGAGAGGGGTGAGGTTGCACACTTCTGATGTCTGGTTAGAAAGGCCATGGAAGAGGCCAGGTCTCCTGTCCTTCCTGATATAGCACCCTGGGGGTTGTTGGGGGCAGGGCCCTGCACAGGGCACAGGTTAGGGACCTAAACACCGCTCTTGGTGGCACTTGCCGGGAGTTGGTCCAGCTTGGGACAGGGGCGCTGACCAAGACCTGGGCTATCAGAATGTAACAGCTCCTTTTCTGCTGGGGAAAAACCAAAAATGCCTGCAGGACCCTGCCTCAGTGGGTGACCCACTCTCCCTGCCACCTGAGCACTGCAGTCACCACCCAGAAGCCAGGTTCCCATTCCAGGAGCCCACTTCAGACCTGGCAGGGTGATTGCAAAGGCAGCTGGATCAGCCCTTGGGGGAGGATAGGGCCTTGGACCCCCTCTGCAGCACCCCAGCTGCCCAGCTGGAGAGGAGGGTACTGGCCTCTTGAGGGCCCCTGGCATCTTGCCTAGTAGGGCTGATCCGCATGCAGGCCTCTGAGGAGCCAGGGTAGGCTCCTGTATGTGAGAGAAGCTGCCCCTCTTCCATCTGGCGGGGGGCAGGCTGCTGGGGCAGGTCACAGGCTGGAGGCAGGGCTCTGGGCAGGGGTTTCTGGGGCATCCTGATGCTACTGGACAGATGAAGTTCCCACTGGAGCTTGTGAATTTGCACAAGCTGGGAACTTGGGGCCGGAGGAGCGTCTCCATCCAGTCCTAGAGGGTTGAGGACTCCTGCACTGTCTCGGAACCCAGGCACTAACTAGCTCACTCCATCCTCCCTTGACCCCAATCCTTCTTCCCAGGCCATGTGAGCAAGCCCAGACCCGGGAGCACAGAGGCCTGTTGGGAGGCAGGCTGCAGCGATGTCCGCTTCGGGGTCAGGGTGGGCCTCGGCAGCAGCCACAACCCCTGGCAGACCCAGGGATCTCTGAGGCAGGTGGGAATGCTGCTAGTGGGATCCTGGGGAAGGGGGCAGTTTCCAGGAGCTGGAGAAGGAGGACACCTCCTCCTGCCTTTGGCATTTCGGGCTTTGGATCCCATTCCCAGGAGAGCTGGGGAGGCTGAGAATCGCCCTGCAGCCTGTGCAATCACTGGCTGTACAGAGTTTCCAGAGGAGATTTTACTTGAGAGAAGGAGGGAGGAACAGAAGGAGGGAGGGAAAGAGCCTGGAGAGCAAGCAACCCACTCTTTTATCTCTAGAAACAGGGATCTGAAATTGACTCAGGGCAGTACTGGGACTGGGGAAGGGGGGCAGGGGTGCAGCTGGCCGGCAAGGTTGGCAGACAGAGGGCCGAGGTTTGGCTTCCTGGCTCTGTGTCCCTCTTACCCCCATGGCATTGCACCATGCACTGGGCGTGGGCTGGATTGGGGGGCACTGGCCCAGAGGCTGCCCCTGCACTGGGGTTCCCAGGATCCCTACTGCTTGCTTTTCCTCTTAAGGCTCAAGTTCTAACGTCTGCAAAGTGTGTTCATCATTTTTGCCCTTCCAGGCAGAGCTGTTAGGAGAGGGAAGGTGTAATATTAGAGAAAACACCTGGGCATTGATGCACTTCCCCACCCCCACCCCCCAGACAGTGTGCTTTGATCTGCTTCTAATAACCTCTCCCATTTTCAGCACTTTGGGGCTGGAGGAGCTTCTCCATCTATTAGCTCATCTCTGTCTCCAAGGGAGGAGGAGGGCTTACTCATCCCTTTCACAGATGAGGAAACTGAGACTCGAGGAGGCGGAGGGACCTGCACGAGGTGGGGGGGATTGGTGGCACCTAGACTCACATGAGCACCTCAGCCACCTGCGTGTGGGGGCCACTCCTGGTACTGCCTCTGGGGAAGTCCCCTCCCTTGCCCGCTAGCACAGGAAGAGGAGTGCGGGCCCCGTGGCTATATCCCAATGGTAATTCTGCCTCTAATTTAATTCTGGGCATCTGGGTGGATCCTTTATCCCTGTGGGACTCAACTTTGTCACCTGTAAAATGGCGACCATTATACCTCTGCAGATGCCTGAAGCGGCCCAGTTGCAATCCCTTTCAGCCTGTGGTGGCTCATTCGGGACATTGCAGATTCCCAGAACAGCCAAGATGGGACCACGGACACTGTCTACTCAGTGCAAACGGTGGAACCCACACCTAGAGGGAAGTGATTTGCCCACAGGGAGAGGTGATGGCAAAGTCAGGCAGGGCTAAGAGACCAGCCGATGTGTGGGGGCCAGAGGCCAGGGGATGGGAAGTTGGAGGGCAGGTCCTGAAGGAGGGGGTGGCAGGGATAGGGAAGGGGACAGCCTTTCTACCCTCCCCCTCTAAGCCATCAGAGCGGCAGCACGCACATGTTCTGGTGCATGCCACAGCCCTCCACCCCCATGCAGCCGCCCCCACGCAGGCTGAGCCGCACTGACACTGCCGAGCCTCCTCCTGCCCGCCCGCTCCCTGCACAGCACACGGTGACACGCTGCCAGCACCCCTGCAGGCAGGGGCCCCGGCTCTCCCTGTGGGGAGAGGGCAGAGCAATGTTGGCCTCTTTGGCTAGTGCCTGCATGCTCGCACACACGTGAACACACATGCATACTGCATACTGGCTCCGACTGGGCAGGGAGCACACGCCCATCTCCCAGTGCAGGGGTGTGCATGGTGCTGGCTGGGTTGACTCTCTCTGCCCTTCCCTTTCCTCCTTGCTCTGTGTCTTTCCAGGCCTGTCTCTGTGCCTCTCCTTCCTCCTCCCTCTCTTCTACGCATGCCACCC